AAGTGTTGGGCAGTGGTGAGGTGCCTGCCCCCGTCCCTGCCACTGCCTCTTCCTCCCAGGCTGCAAGTTCCCCGGAAGCCTGAGGAGCCCCCAGAGCTTCCCACAGGCCACCTCCAAGTGCTGTTTCACCCTGGCCTCTGATCTGCCTAGCGACTTGAAAGGGAGTGCAGGGTGGGGGCTCTTTGGAATTCAGTATCCTGAGGATGACTGCGGAGAGGTCAGCAGGGCAGCTCTGGACTGACCAGCGGGGTGGGAAGGAGCAAGGCCCTTGTCTCACCTCGGTTCCCACCCCCATTGCAGATCTCAGAGCAGCCCGGTTGTTTGGTTGTTTTTCTGGGCTGTCTCCCACAGCTCCCAACACACACGGGAGCGGCCAGCACTTTTTCACAGTCTCCCGCTGCTTCCTGAGCAGCAGCGCAGGTGTTTTTCTTTGTCCTCATCCGTCTCATCTTGTGCTCAGGCTATGGGTGGGAGTGGTGAGGGGGAAGTTTGGGGCTACACATTGGCCCCAGTACTCATTCTCCCCGAGTGGACAGGGGAACAGCTGGGTCCGGCCCTGTCCTGGTGGGGGCTGCTCTCCCCTTTTCTCTCTCTTTTTTTCCCTCCTGACCACCCAGGCTGGCTTTTGGCCCGTCTCTCTCCTGTCCCAGGCATTTCCGCTGCTGGGCCCTCTGCAGCCAGGTGTAACAGCATTGTTGTGTGTGTCATCACTTCCCCGGATTCCATACTCAGCTCCCTTTCCAGACGTGAAGGAGTTTGTGTGCGTGTGTAGAGGGGGTGGGTGAAAGGAAGGAGCTTCTCAAAAAGGGTTTCAGAGTGGAAAGAAGAGGAGTCAGCTCTCCCAGGTCCTAGTTTCTGATTGTCCTTTCCAGGAGCAGAATCCTAGCCAGAGGAGAAGGGGATGCCGGTTTGTGTGCACTGGGACGGGCTGGAATTAGTGCCTCCCAGCGGTGTGCGTCTGCACCGTCTGCACCGCCGTGCACAGTGGAGAGCTCGGAGACCAGACGAGGAGATGCAGGCCGGGAAGTGCACGGCGGTCCTCTGCGCTCCCCTCCAGGTCTCTGCGGAGAAGCCAAGGGTTAGACCGAAGGTGAGGGAACCTGGGGAGAAGGTAGAGTCCTCGTCTTGCCATGACCCACGCGGAGGTGGGTGAGGCGGGCACTCTGGGAAGCAGGGGGGTGCCTTAGGCAGGCTGGGTAGGGCCCGCTTCTCGGTGAGGTCAGGACCCGTCCTGCAGGACAGACTGTGACGAAGCTGTGCCGGCCTCGGGATGGCCCCACTCTCTCGCGGAATTGTGACGACGCAGGACCCGCTCCATGACCTCGGGGCGGTTGAGGCTTAATTCTGGCTTA